CAAAGCATGGATGGAGTGTTTGTGTGAACTAATATAAATTCAAAGTAAACATCATTACATAAAAGGGTATGGTCTTTTTTTTTTTTTTAGTTTCATTCAGTTCAAACGGGCTGGATCCGGCCCGTGGGCTGTAGTTTGCCCACGGCTGGTCTAGACTCAGTAGCTTGGCAGATACATATTTTATTGTGAATTAATCAGATGGCATTCTGAATGGTTTCTTGCCAGCTTGATTATTGAGTCCTTTACTAAGAACTTGATTTAGTATCATTTGCTGCCTACCTCTATTTAGTTAATTATCGCATTCAAAAGACTGCAAAGTGTTGTGGCTTTTTAACATGCCACATTCCTAAAGACCACATCGAGGTGACTGGGTAACTATGGTCTCTTCCAGTCCTTGACCAGTGTTACCATCAGTGCAAAGAAAGCTAACAACTTTCATCATGGAAGTTAGCCGAGGTACATAAAGACTTGGAATCAGAATGCTTAAATTTGATTCCATCCATACACCATTTAACCTGTGAACAAGTCATTTAGCCTGCTAATCTTTTTTTTTATTCTTTTTTAAAAAGTAGGGTAATTGTATTTATCCTGTAACTGAGATTTTTAGTCTGTAGAATTAACTACAGGGTAATTTATTCTGTAACTGAGTTTTTAGTCTGTAGAATTGTATTTTTATTTGATGCCTTAAGATTTTACTTTCAACTCTTTTGTTTTTTGTTTTTGAGACTTGGAAAAGATAAGCAGAAAAAGACCATTACTCATTGTTAACATTTTGGACTCAAACATTCTTGCATTTGACTTACTAGGGCTTACGTTTCAAGAAGGCCCATGTAACACATCCTGAACTGAAAGCTACCTTTTGCCTGCCAATACTTGGTGTAAAGAAGAATCCCTCCTCCCCACTTTATACAACCTTGGGTGTTATTACCAAAGGTACTGTCATCGAGGTGAATGTGAGTGAGTTGGGCCTTGTGACACAAGGAGGCAAGGTTATTTGGGGTAAGTAAATTTGTTAGTATGGGGATGCTGCTCTTGTAATCCTAAAAACAAATTTTCAAGTTGACATAAAGTACACCGCAAACTGTAATGTGGAAGACATAGATAAGTTCATACTTGATGTAAAGCAGATTTAAATCTTTAGGAAGAATACTTTTTATAGAAATAGTTATGAATATAATTTAACTTAATTTCAGTTATATGAGATGTACTATGTTGTTAGACTTTGATGCTATATTTAAAAATAAATTAATTACCAGGGAAACAGATGCCAAGATATGGTTATAATTAAAAAATATTGGAATATAATAAATTACCTGTGAGTGGAAGAAGGAAGGCATATATCAAAAAAATTTCCTCATTTTCTTACTTTTCTGCTTTTAGTGCCCAGATATTCCTAAACTTGAATGTTCTTTGAAAGGGAAGAATCCTATATAATAAAAGGCTAATATGCAAATTGTCCCTTTGGCCAGGAATTCAACCAGGGGGTGGGGCCGGTCAGCCAACCACCCGGATCGGGGGGCAGGTCAGCCAGACCGCACCCATGCACGAATTCATGCACTGGGCCTCTAGTATCTTCTATAACTCTTAAAAGTAGTAAATTAGAAATATTGGGGCAAAGGTTATATTTTTTAAAGTTTTTATTAGCTAACATCCCTCTTTTTCTTCATTTTGTTTCCTTAGGAAAATATGCTCAGGTTACCAACAATCCTGAAAACGATGGGTGCATAAATGCAGTCTTACTGGTTTGACAGACAGTAGTTTCACACAAGTAACTTTGTAATTGTTGAAGATTATGCACCAATCAGGAAAATTCCTTTACTATGATGTTTCTGAATGCTATCAAACAGCTTACATGTCTGCAGTCATCAAGAGAATTATTTATTCTATTAACATTAAAATGGCCCAGTTTTACAAATTGGTCTTTATTTTGAGGTCTGTTTATTACTTAGGTGCTCATGAAATTGAATGATTTAAAAAAGCAATTATAACAGTTCCTACTTCATCAATAACTATCTGTATTAATAAGTGGGTATTCAGCAATGCAGATCTAACATTTCTGGAAAGCCAGTGTAGTTGATAACACCTTTTATCCTAAGAGTTAATGCACACTTAATATGGGGCCTACGCTATAAAACTGTCATATCTAAAACCTCACCTCATTATTTTTTCATCATTAGTCCTAAAAATGTAGCATTAACACATCTGGTAATGTTAAGTTCATAAAGTATTCACATTGAAGGTATATGAGAAAAGGTACACTACAGTAAGTCGAATTCAGAAGAAATTTAGATAAATCTTTTCTCCCGTAATTCTTAATTTCTTCAGACAGTAAGTCAGTTTTTTGTTGTTTTTTTTTAGTATGTTAAACATTTTCTTCTCATATATAGTAACACCTACTTGGAACTGTGCTTTCTACTTGCAACATGAAAAACACCAAAGTGTTTATACTTTTAGCATTTTCTGTATTCTGAACTTGGTAGTATATTTATATTTTTAGAGTCTGAAAATTTGTTTAAATCCAGAAAAAATGGTTTTAAAAAGAAAAAGACTGCACTGATGCCCTTAAAAGAGAAATATATTTGTAATCACATAATATAAAAAATCATGTTTTAGGGTAATTGTCAAAGCACCTTTGTTATATGAATTATGTTGGTGGCTTTGAGCTTTAGGGTGTCTATATATTAATCTATAATCGTTTTAAATTGTTTATTTTTAAAAATCTGTTCTGAAGGTACAACCAGTATGAACAAATTCTTTATCCATACACATCATCAATGAAATTAGGGAAAAGAAAAGGGAAAGAATTTCAATACACAGACCAAGAACAATCACAAAATATATGTTTAATTACTACTTTAAACTAAAAAAACAACTACCAAGAAAATTTCAGTAAGACTTGCTATTCTAAATATTGCAATATCTTTTCTAAGTTCTATAAACAATAAAAGGTTAAGAACACAGGAAAAGAAAGGCTGGCTAGTCCTTGGGAATGACTATCCAGCATAATACAATCACTTCACAATGACAGAGCTTAACCTTTCTTACAATTTTAACATGATTTTGCCACTAATAGAAATGAATGACTTAGGTTTTGGAAGGTGAAAGAAAACACTGACTAAAGGTAAGCACATGATGCTACAGAACAGATATTTTTTAAAATAAGCAAATTAACTTATACAAAGCCTGATATTAACAGAAACATAACTCATCACATCCATGAAATATCGGATAACACCTTGAACAATATTGATGTTAGTGGACATTACCAGGCAGAAATATATTTGTAAAATACTGTCACTGGATGAGTAATGTTAGTATAAATTATTTACACTTTAAGATTCTGTTTTGGATTGCTGGTGTGACCAAATTTAGAAGGTAATCCCTAAGGGTAAAGCAGAACATAAGAGCAGATATCAGATGCTACGTAAACTCTCAATCTGATGCAATCACAACCCACCAAGATAATTTTCTAAAGTCACAAACCATTTTAGGTAGCATGGTGTTCTGGTGGTCAGCAAAAAGTGAACCATTAATCACTAGTAGTTATCTTTCCTGTGATAATTCTCTGTACTTAATGGAAAACACCATGAATAGAGACACAATTTAAGCAAGTGACTGATAGTCTGTCATGCTATTTGATTTTATAAAAAATCATAATAGACCCTCATCTTTAAAAGCTGTAGAAGAGCTTTATAATAAATTCTTAAATATACTTATTTCTGTGATGTCCAGCAATTGAATAAACTTAAAAGAACTAAAATTTTGTTAATAACTGCTCTATATTACACAAGGGAAATACGTATTTACACAAACTAAAGTGAACTAACTTCTCCACGAATAAGACTTCTAAACAAAACAATCCACAAAGAATTACAGAATGTGACTGGATACTCAACAACTGGACTAGCTGTTTGAAATCAAATTTCTGTCCTCCAGTTCCGAAAGTTTTACTAACGACTTGCAAAAACAAGTATCTGATTAAGTTTTATTTAGTTTCCTAGTTGATATATTTTGTTATAAATTCTATACTCTCTGAGTATAGAACTCATTTACTGAAAAAGCATGTTACTGAATTTTTCACGTGACTCACTTTTCCTCCACTATCTATAAGCGCCAAAATAACATTTTTCTGCCAGACAGCATGTAACAAGTTTTCTTGTGTGCTGAACAAAAAGTTTTGCAATTGCCTAAAATGCACGTCTTGTTTAAGAATAAACCAAACAAGTTCAACTGTTAGTCCCTGGCAATCACACACGAATAACCATTCCTTTTTGTAAACTCGGTAACCATGTTCACACAAGAGTTGTCAGTGAATTCCACTTTCTTAAATCCCACCTTTTTATAGAAAGTATTTTGAAGAGAAAATGAATAATCCCAAGTAAAATAAGTGTTGGATTTTTATCATAAGAAATTTAAAATGGAAAGGTTAAGAAAAAGAACTCACTAAATCTTAATCTTTAATTCCCTATTTGTGGTTTTAACATGTTTTTCATTAAAACATGTAAGAACATAAACATTTGATAGGGAATTAGTACTAATACTTTTTTCTTTCACTTATTTAGCATTTTTTTTTGAGAAAACAGCCAAAGTGCTGTAATTTTTATTTAGTGTGAAATCTGGCTTATCCCAACCAATAATTAAAGAAAATTTGGGGATACAAGTACTCAAAATTTTACAATGAATAGGAGGGTTTGCCATTTTGCCTGCTTAAAGAACTTAAATCTTTCTAAAATACCAACATCCCCCTGAAAAATGTAATGACATAACTTGACTGTGGACTAAAAAACATTTAACATCAATCCTTAGCATTATTTGTCAAATAATGACAGAAAGTTCTAACTCATTTTTTTCATAATGAACCAAGCCTGTTTTAAAAACAACCTAAGTGGTCTCAAAGCATTCTTCAACTTAAGTACACATCTGAGTACACATAATACTTCCAAAGAGCAGTATTATTTCGAATTTCTCTTTGGATCCTAAGAATAACCATTTTGTTCATTTCTAAATAAATTTACAAAAATTAACAATTGAGGATTTTGTTGTTTTTAAGTTTTCCTGGGCAAAGGCCTTTGCTATGGCAACACAATGAACAGGCTGGCTTGTAACCTGTCCTCAAAACAAATCAAGAATAAAAGCAAGACCAAAGGGACAAAGCCTCCAATTTGACTTAAGCTCTGGTAACAACAGTTCCTAGGGCAGCGTTACTGCTGTCATCCAGATCTAAGTGGGGCGTAGTTTCATACCTACCCAAAGTGATGCCAAGGGCATAAACTGGCAGGCAGGCAGATTTTTTGACAGGATTCACTCTGTGAGGGAAGTGGATGAACGCTGAGAGGAATATAAATTAAGATTCTAGATTAAGAGCAATAGCAGGATTAAGGAGAACTCTTAGGAAGGGACCTCTTCTAATGTATATGTGTTAACTAGGTGAAGACAAAAGTATAGTCCCCAACTTCAAAAGAAAATTTAAATAATTATATTAGTACCTACATGCCAGAGTTAAATCCCTAGCACTACTGTTAATATTAAATGTTTTAAGGAGTGAGTTGGAAAGTTTGTACCTATTCGGAAAAGTCAAATGAAGAAACTGCATCTACACTACAATGAATTAAGAGGCCAAAATACCGCCCTCATAAACCTTCGACCAAAAATTTATGTATTTGTGCTCTCATTTAGTCGAAATTATTCTAATTTACTGCCATTTTTGTTTAGGCATGTCTAAATTTTTTAAAATAGTGATTAGTTTTGATAGTTAAGCTAAAACTTCTAGAACACTCCCCAAGTTTACTATTTAAAACTCAAGTGTAAAAGATTTCTGTAATCCTCACAATGAAAAGCCTACTACTTTGTTTTTTAATTTATATATCCTGAAATAGTAATAGTCAGATGGCCCCAACTACTAAAGAAAATACAGTATGATCTGGTTTCTCCAAATCGAAACATGGTTAATAAAAATTAAAAAACTGTATTTACACAAAGTAACCTGAAAATTAAAAACAATGATGAATCCTAAGCCCTAAGGAGGAGGGAAAAACAGCATCATAAATAAGCTCAAAGTGAAATTCTGGAATTTTTGTCCTGTGCCCCGTGCTATTTATTACCATATCTTAAAAACAATTATGTTACAAAGAGGATTTGTGATCTGCATTTCTTCATTCAGGTCAGCTTGGCTTTCTTCTTAGCGGGTCCTTTGTATCCTTTGGCCTTTCTTCTTAAATTCCGCCTGTCTACAACAGGCACTTCCACTTCTATTTCCTCTGAGCTGCTATCCGCAGTCTTTTCTGTCGATTGTGTAAACTGATCCAGTTGCTCAGAAGACGCTTCCGACTGCTCCTCTGACTGGTTCTTCTGTCCTGCATTCTGTGAAAACGGCCCGTCTTCAAGTTCAACCTCTACTAAAGAACTCTGAGGAACAGCTGGAGATGTTTCCTGGGGCTCGGACACCCCCTCTTCAACCTGGTCTTCCAATGAGGAAGTAGTATTGGGTGACAAATTTTCAGAGATTGGTTCCTCAGAAAATTCAGCTACCACAGAGTTTGGAAAACCACTGTCAGATTGTTCTTCATGTGGGATAGTGGCAGCATTGTCTGAACTCCCAAAATGTGCCTTCTTTCTTGGAACTTGTGGCACTTTCTCTTCTGTGTGCCCCTTTCCATCAGATGGGCCTTCGTTTAACAACACTTCTGAGTCAGTAACATGTGAGGTCTAAAAATAAAAACCTGGTGAGCAAACTTCTGCAATATAGACCTTATATAAATTATTCTTAGAAACCAGTATGTAATGATACTAAACTGCATTTTAAAGACTTCGGTATTCATTACTTTACTTAACCATGTGTACATATTCTGAGTACAAGTCTATTTCTTCAAAATTGTCTTTGATAATTTGCATACATTAAGTTCTTGCTTTAAAGATATCGTAAAAAGAATAATTTTAACTTAAAAAGTACTTAAGATATTTTAAACTTCATATCAAGATTTTTCAAAACTTTTA